CCCCAAAACCCCAAAACCCCAAAACCCCAAAACCCCAAAACCCCGATATATTAAATTTGAGCTGAAATTGCGACATACAATTAATCATGGATCATAAATCTCATGACCAGATACTCCCTCTCAACATTTCAGATGAAGGAGAGAATACAAAGAAAAATATGAGCTTGAACATCTCTTGAGGAGGGAGTATGATGTTTGGAGCAGGCTCTCTTGAGCCAAAGCAAGCAAGCACTACAGCTCCTGATAAGAAAAATTCAATGATCGGAGTGTTGTTCATCCTTGTTACTTGCTGACTCTTGACAATAGGACATACTATTTGTAAATATCTGTCTATTTACAGTCCTTACATTAAAGGAAATGATATATCTTTCTTCATGGGTATTTTTAATTTCTCATTCAATCTTATTTATGGATTAAAATATGGAATCTCAATGAACGTGCTCTCATTTGATTTTAAAGTAAAATTGGCGCTACTTGCAAGAATGTCAGCTGGATTTGCGAATAATTTAGTCCTCGTTTTTGCAATCAGCAGACTTCCTCTCTCGAAGAGTGTGATCATTTTCAGCTTAAATCCTATTTGCTGAGCGACACTTGCTTTCTTCTTTTTGAAAGAAGATATAGCAAAAACAACAATTGCTTGCTTCTTTGGAGCAGCTGTAGGAATCTATTTCTTGACATTAAACAGAGAAAGTGATAATAAAAGTGGAACTATATCTGGCTATATTGCAGCAATCACATCTATCTGGCTCCTTGGATCTATATTTATATTTGGAAGAGTACTAGCACTTCTAAAAGTGCATGCTACAGTAGTTTGAATGTGCCTTGGATTATCATTTATGGTGCCTTCTCTAATCGCATCACTTTTTATTGATGATGTCTTGCATTTTAACCAGTACACAACTTCAGATCTCTGAATTCTGACAGGTAAGATTTTTCGTAACTCTGTAGTGTTTGGATTTTTATCATCAGTATGGATCACATGCATGTACTTAGCCACAAAATATGCTCAAGCGTCATTTATCTCTCCCATTCTGAACTTAGAAAACGTATTCACAGTATTTATTGACATGTTCTTCTTCCACTACCACTTTACAGGCACAGATTTCTTAGGAATGAGTATTCTAGCTGCTTGTATCTGAATTCCAATTGTCAGAAATTATCTTAATTCCTAAATTTGTGGTTGAAATCTCTATAAAATTCTATTCTAATCTTTAAAAAGATAATTGGTCATTTTCAATTTGGAATCGACCGCGTGGGGTTTTGGGGTTTTGGGGTTTTGGGGTTTTGGGG